AGGGAGAGCCCTTTGGTGGGGGAAAGAGGTGTTTAATTTACAATCACTTGAGTTTCCTCCGGTGGGGGTTTTTGCTGTGGGGGATGCGCCGGTGTGGCGAGGGGGCGGCGGCGTGGCTTTTGCCTCCCCCCCCCCCCCCCCTCCAGTAGTTGACACTACACTCGCGCTGGTCGTTTTCACTCGGTTGTCGAGGCGAGCCAGATCGTTCTTGAGAGTGACATCGCCATCGTACAGTAGCAGATGGTGATGATGATTTCGTCGGCTTTCGGTCGTAGATATTGTAGCCGCGTGGGGTTCTGCGGGCAGACTTTGGCCTGTCATGTGCTGTGTGACATGCTCTGAATCTGCCCCGCTCTGTGTATGTGTGTGTGTGTCTCTCTCATCCTTTCGGGCACGTCCCTGGCGCTGGTGAACACACCAACCACCAGAATCTACTGCTGTTTTCATCTTCTGTGTGTGTTCTTTTTGAGTGCGGGTTGCTTCCGCCCCGTGGGATTCGAGCTGCCGTCGAAGGCACCGCCGGCCACAGGGTCGGCTTATCCGATCAAACGGCTCGCGCATGTATAACCGAACCGACGAGAATTCCGAGCTAGGATAAGACTATACCCCTTCCTTTCATTACGCGAACAACGTCGCACGCTTCGAGAGGGAGGGCAGCCGCTATTGGAGACAACGAGAACAACGCCGTTCATCCTCGCGCGACGCCGTAGCAGGAGGGGCGGTGCCGTCCCCCTTGCCCGGCATGCCGGCGCGCGCTTTGGCGTGGCCGTACAAAATTTCGAACAGAAAATAAAGCCAGTATGGTTCAGGGCGGGGGGGGGGAACTCGGTGGCCGCTTTGTGCTCCAACACCATACATGCGCGAAAACCGAAGCACCTCGGGGGGTGGGCCAAACCCCACTCACCGCTCTGCCCCCAACTATAATTTCCTGCGCGCAAGACGGAGCCCAGCCATTTTTGTCATTTTCTACCGCAACTTGACCGCAACCGTTATTTTTTTTCCACCTGACGCACTCGAAATGGCTGACAAACCAACAACCCCCTCTGCGAACAGGACGCGGGCGGCGTGGCCGGACGGCACGGAGCCTGGGGAGGGCCCCGCCCAGCAGCAGCAGCAGCAGCAGCAGCACCAGCACCAGCACCAGCTAGGGGCGGCGGCGGCCTCCGGCGGCGGTGGCCCGGGCATGGCCGGTGGGGTCGGCATCGAGCGAGGCTTTCCACCCCCCGACCGTGCGAGGACGTTCGACCACACCACCGCCGTCGGTGGTGGTGGTGGACGGGGTGGCGTCGCGCTGGAGGGAGGGGCGGCGGGCCTTCCTCGTCAGCTCGAAGCCGGCAACCCGGAGGTGAGAAATCAGCGCGCGGCGGCGGCGGCGGCGGCGGGGGCGGCTTACTGGCCTGCTCTGAATTGTGTTCATTCACACCACCGACCTAGTTTGGTTTGGAAATATTCATGCATTCACAGATCTTCTGATGGCTTCAGCATTTTTGTGACCACGGGCCGAGTCTTTGCTAGATTTTGGGATTGGCAACTGACACGAGTTTGATGTGAAGAAAAACAAACAACAAACAAAAGAAAGGTTCCCCGTTCGAACTAAGGGGGGTAGTTTCTGACGCCCACCCCGTCGGCTACTCGTTCTGGTGGCCAGCGGGTTGTTAACCTTGCCAAACGTAGATGCGTACGCCTGTGGATCCGTGGAACATCGTGTCCGCTGCACCGGTTTTTATCCGTGGACTCAGTCACCCTATACACGCTCCGGCCTAAAAGGCTCCCAATGTTGATAAAAACGCCCGAGCTTTCGCTGGTCCATGTAGCCTATATCTATATCTGACGCGCTGATGTTTCGCGCATGTATTCTGTTCTAAGACAACAAGACCAACACCTTCAACGACGACAACTTCATGCGAGAAAAAACTCGCAGTTTCTATTCTACCCCTCCTGTGCAGGGCGCGTACACGTAACGCTCGTTCCTTTCGGTGGTCAGGCGCAATCCGCCAGGCTTTCGACGCAGGCAAGAGAGAAGTACAGCTGTCGTGCGTACATTTTCCCGCGGAAACGTCGAATAAACATGTCCGCTGCTGCAGAGTTATACGCTCGTGATTCCGTGGGCTCGCTCACTGCCGGCGCCGCTACCCGCCTGATGTAACAGACCTCCCCATGTCCAGAAAATGTCCACTAGCGTGTGTCCGTCCGCTCGAGCTTACGCCCCTCAAAGCGCGGCGACACGAAATACTTCAACCCATCCCCTTCGACTGCTTTGGTTTTATATCTCGAACTGCTTGTCTTTCGTCGATCGTGCTTTCCCACGTATTTTTTTATTTCATCAGTATGACCCAACGAATCCATCTCTATCCATGTATTTTTCGAACAAACCTGGAATTGTTTTTGGAGCTTTCGATGGTTTTGTGTGAAGTCCAGGAAGGCGACGTTGCCTGCTATACGTGTATACTGTTCCGTAGTTCGAGAGCCACAGCTGTGTGGGAGAAACCCCCTACGCTTCTGATAAGTACCACGTGTATACACAACGATTGCTCCTGTTGACTGGCCAGACGGCCAGGGGTCAGGACGTCCAGCGTATCCCAAGCCGTTCTCTGGCAGTGCCCGCTCAAGGCGGGGAAGCTTGCAGGAGTTTCGCGGGCGGAGATTGCTCTATGCGGGCAGTTCGTATGATACACAATCCCTTCCACTTGTGGTGTGCATATTTTTCTTCATTGAAAAGAAAGAACCATTAATAGAGTTATTTAAAACTCGATTCATGGACCGGCGGGACTTTTTGGGCCTTTTGGGCCTTTCGCTGCTTTGTACATTTTTGGTGAAAAACTCTCGTGATGTAAAACTCGAGAATAAATCTTCACGGCTGTAGCCTGCGCCAATACATCCTCGGACAGCTGGTGTTGGACAGGTGGGCTGCCGTTGTGGTCAGGCCAAATTTGATCAACCTGAAACAGGCAGCAAGCGAAATCAGAGGGCCTTTTTTCAAAGTGATACGAATATGCACACTTTTACGTAGTGAAGGAACAGCGGACAAGGCGCCTTCGTCTCTGCCAAGAGCGCCCCCAACCTCGCTAGCTGACACTCGGTATGTTGGCACTCGGGCACGTTGATGATCACAAACCGTTGGTCCTTTTTTTTTTTGTGCCAAAGAGAAAACGAGAGAGAGGTTAGAAAAGACAGGCAGACAGGAATATACGCACACCCTATCTATGCATCAACGACAACAACAACCTCCAGCCTCCCCGCCGTCTCGACTAGGAAGGGCCGCCCTCCCCCCCACAAAAATAACGGGGCAACCCATAAGCTACCCCGCGAGCCTTGTGGAACTGTGTCTGTTCGTTAATTCGTCTGTGCTTGCGTGCGATGGCGGCACCGGAGAAAGCGAGAAAGACAATGGAGCACGACGAGAGAGGAGGGCAGAGGGAAAAAAAGAGAGTGCAGCAGCATGCAGCAGCCTCACGTACGCGTTGATGCGCATGCAGCACAACAAAAAATCGTCCGGGCAGTGCCCGACAGCTTGGTTGGGGGCTGGCGGTGGTGTCGGCGTTGTTACGACTGTGTGTTGTGTCTTTGCTGTTGTGACGGCGGCGATGTTTTCCACTGCAAAAGCGAGGAGAGAGGGAGATAGAGAGAGCAATCTGTTCGTCTCGGAACACAAATATATACTTGGGGTTCTGAGGCTCTGGGGCTCTGGAGCCCCAAACATGTTTTTTCCCACGATTCATGCATTTTTGCCGAAAAGTCCCCTCCGATATAAAACTCGATTCATCCACTTTTCGGGCTCTTCCACTGATTTCATGCATTTTTTCGAGTTTTGAATAACTCTAGTATTAATATTTGTAGATAGTTCACAATCTCGAACGGGTAGTCTTTCAGTGATCGTGTGCTGTACTGAACTTTTCTCTCGAAATTTGAAGAAAAACGTCCCCGGAAACTTGAGAGCCATCGCGCACCACACACACACACACCCTACAACAGACTACGTTTCGAAAGATATTGATCGAGTCACAACCAAGAAGGTGGGTGCGAGAACCTACTATTGATACCCATGAGCGCAACCAAAAAAAAAAAAGAAATGCTCTCGACGGATTCAACCTTTCGTGTGACATCGGCGGCATCCTCGCGGCTGTGAAGAAGTCGACGCTGGTGTAGGGTGCCATCGCTCTATCACACTTTTTGTACGGTATGTGGGCGTGAGAGCGCACAGCGCCCACGAAGTTGAGCTCTAGGGCGTCCGCCCCCCTCCCCGCCCTCTGCGTTACGCACGCACCCTCTTGCGCGCGGCGGGGGGCAGCAGGGAAGCAACCAGGGCACGAAGCACGTCAGATGTTGTCGCCACGTCACCTGTGTTGCCTTGTGGCCTGCTTTCCTGCACACAGTAGTAGTAGCGCCCGTCCAGCCCTGCTGTACTAGTTTTGTTTGTGGTTGTGCTTCTCTTTGCTGTTTCCCTCGAAACATGACAAAACCACGGCATGTGTCTTGCGGCGGTGTTCGTCTCCCTCTGGAAACATGACAATAAACACAGAGAGCCTTTTTCGAGCAAGCGGCGGGGGTGGGGGTGCCGTTGCGGACAGCGTACGGTTTGAGTGCGTAGGCGAAGGCACATGAACACCTATCACGAGCCCTGCCCATGTGCCAACTTTTCTCAGCATGGCCATGAAGTAGAGCAGGCGGGCGCTCGATGGTGCAGCCCGCGCCCCCCCTCGAAGAGAGTTCTCCGATTTCTTGCGCTGCAATACGCGGCAACAACTTGCGGACTTTCGTTTTTCCGCGACGCGACATGTAGTCGACGACAACTTGTTCGTGCTCTAGAAAATATGCACCCAGTCGCAGAAAGCATGGGTAGTCTTTCTGTGTGTGTACTTATTTATTTTTCCTGGTAAGAAAGACTGGTCTAACCGTTCGAGATACCACCGCAATCGGTCGAACGAGGTTTTGCGGTGTGTGGGAGAAAAACCTTTTTTTGGTTACAACAATCGCGAGGGCCCTTCCGAACGCCCGTCTCCCTCCGAAGGCAACAACTTGGCTAGGCCACGTGTGACTGTCAAGTGAGTGGAAGAAAAACGTTTCGTTAGTTAAACACTGATCGAAAACCATCCATCCATCCTCCTCCAAAACCAACCTTGCTTGAGGTACAATCCGGCCGTCAAGCAACTGCGTCACAGATACCGTGCCCGGCCATCTGGGACTTTTTTTTTATTGTCTTCACTTCAAATCAGCGCTCACACCACTTGTAGTGCCGTTTACTCCAACCCGTGGTCACACAGAAGAGCCCCTCTCTACCCTCCCCTCCTGCGGTACTTTGCCTTCGATTTTTGATGCGAGAAGAGTTCAGCACTCTCTTCCCTCTGTGACTTTGCAGTGGATCGAAGAAAAATAGTCTGTGTTGTGCGTAACCATCTTCCTTCGAAACAAGCCACTCTACTCACGCGGCCGTCAGTGAAGATGCCAGATGTTATTTTTTTTTGTCGCGCGGAACACGACCATCGAACACGCCTTGCAGAACTCGCATCGTGGATCGTGGCCACGCAATCCAACACACCTGACACCTGTTGCAGCAGCGACGTGTTTCTTTGAGGTGAAGCGTTTTCACAGCGCTCCCGGGTACGCCGTGTTGATTCGGAATAGATTCGTTTTAAGAGGCCTTCGTCCTTGCTCGCAAATTGACTACGGCAGTAGCCGTTCCGTTCCACCATGGACCCTTGCTTACATCTGCAGCTCCCGTCCCGTTGTTACACAGCTACGTGCTGCATTCAAACGGGTGTCGAGTGTGTTTGCCTGGACGAAACAGACCCTGCGCGGTCTCATGTTTTTGACCCTCTCGCTTTCTCTACTGCTGCTCCTGCGTTAAGCCTGTTATTTCTTGTTTTTGGAGGTTGTTGTTTATTTAGCTGACACTCAAATCTTGTTCTTCCTCGCGGCGGTCGAGGCGGCTGAAGGGGGTAACCAGGCTTGAGACGAGGCTGCGCTCCTACCTTGCCGCTGAGGGGCGAAATAAGGCATAAAACGTGTTTTTTTTTTTTTTTCTGCAAGTTCTTCCGTGGACCTTGGACACACGTTGAAGGCCACGAGAATGCGATTCTGTCGATCGAACTTTTTCGCCTCTGGTTGCCTCAACATCTGGCAACGATTTTTTGTATGAACGTGCACAGCCCATTATACTGTTTTCCCTGTTCGCCTTTTTTTTTGCGCGTGGTGGGGGCGTTAATCTCCACCCTTGCATGTCTCTTGTCTTCCCGGGAGAATGTACCCCTCGCCACTCGGTGCTTGGGTGCTGTCTTGCCATAGCTGTCGGCAAATCATGGTTTTTGTGAGCCAAGTCCCTTCTCTCCTTCCTCGTGCTAAGCAGACTCTTCTCCCTCCCCCCCCCCCTCGGCCCCTTTCCCTGACAGGCCCGCGCTCAGCTCTCGTCGCCACCTATGCAGACCCCGGCATCCTCTCAGCAGCAGCAACAGCCGTGGGAGTCGATGGACCTGGCGCACATGGCTAGAGTCGCAGCCAGCGGCGGCGGCGGCAGCGCCAGCGCCAGTGCCAGCAGCAGAAGCTTCGCCACCGGCATGAACATCGCAAGCGTCGAGGAGCCGACCTCCGCCGCCGCGCCTTCGGCGGAGCGGTCGCTCTTCGCCTTGCCCTCCTCATTTCCGCCCCGCTCCGGTCTAGACAGGGCGTCCGGCGGCGGCGGCGGCGGCAGCAGCGGCTCGCAGTTCCAAGACGTCGCCACCGCCGCGGCTAGCGACGTCCACGGGCGAGCGCCCGCCTACCGGGACCATCGAAGACGTTCTTCATCGACGACGCAGTCTCAATGGAGCTCCTACCCTGGGGCCGGGCCTCCTCTCAACGACCCCTGGCTGAAAGGCACCAGGTCTCGAGATCGCGGCTTCTCGCTGGGCGGTGGCATCGGCGGCGGGGAGAGCGGCGGGCTCATTGACGCAAACCCGTACCAGCAGCAGCAGCAGCAGCAACAGCAGCTCCATTCGTCTTCCTCCCAGGCGAGGGCCAAACATGCGAGTCATCCCCCCGGGGGCGGCGGTGTCGATAGCCTTATGGGCATCGACGAGCTCTCGGTCTCCGCGCCGGGTCTCCGCGGCGCCGGC